CCGTTGCAGCAGGTCCAGACTGGACCATATAAGGTCTGACATTCTAAGACTGTTTCACTGCTCTGGAAATGCAGTTTGGAGTTAATGAGCTGGTAAGAATGGCAAAGCTGATGCTAAACAAGATAATAAGTTGAATCAGACTTCTTACATAAACAGCTATCCCCCGTGGATACCCCACCCAGCAGTTAACTCAAGACCACTTCTCTTTATCTGCACGCTTTGAACTTGAGGACATTATCATTGCATGTACATGACATCTTCTTGGTGCGTAGCACAAATATGATTAACTGAGATATACCAGTAAAAGACACATTTCTACGATTCCTCTGATCTTTGTAAGGTTTGTATTCCTTTAAATGTGTTGATGATCTGATTTGTGACAGACATTTTATTAACCACTCATGGAAAAACAGTTCTATCAGAAATAACCCAACTTCGTTGCTTTCACTGTACACTATCTTAGAAGTGTTTTACATCATGACAACTCAAAAAAGTCCTAAAAACATCATACAAATGTATACTGACTGTAAACACAAATGGGTAATGAAATATACTGTAGGTTTCCATTGCAAGATTTCATTAAATGCAAGGTCTTCAAAATGTGTGTGGAGAAAATCGACTGACAGGTTTGAATTGTGTTTGTTTGGGCCAATCACAACATGAAAGGAACATGAATCCAGCTGATCAGAGGAGATTTATAAATATTTTGGCGCATAAGCAATTTTTGACAGTTTTTAAAATGGTTCAAGGTAGAGATAGGTTGAAGGGGCTGATGGATCGTGGTAGAAGCAGAAGCAAAGAGTGACAAGAATGAATCTGTATTTAATCCTGATTGAAGTTCTACATCTTTTGGTTTTTGTGCAACTTTAGAAATAAAGTTGCATAAATGAGCAAAAGCTGTAACCTGCCTGGATCACCACAAATGTTTGTGATTTGCCATTGATCTCTCTGCTGGTAGCAAGAGTCACCTGGTGCGTATGAAACCTGAAGCAGCAGATAGCTCTCCTGGGGAGGAAATGACCAAAAATACAAAATTGCAAAAATGGTGAACTAAAAACTTTGGCAGAAACAGCTAGAAGCAATGTTAAAGAACATGTTTTCCTGCCTTCCTTTAACATTTCAACCATAACAAATGAGATGAATTCAAGAACTTCAGTGTCTGAAATGGTTGTAGATTTTCTTTCAAGACACAGATTTGAAAATGGGCTCATGCATCAGTTTTTTTTTCCTTTCATGGTTTTATATTAATTAGAAATGTTTGTTTCTTAGCAACCCTGCTTTAACAGAATGTCACTTTGAAAATCTTAACCTATGCCTTGAAGGATGGGTCTTTGTAACACCTTGACTGTCATGAGGACATCATTGACCCATTGACTAACATGTAAACATTAATGAATGGTAAAATGACTAACCGATCATTCAGTTGTCAATGTTGCAGCTTTACTTTCCCATTGACTGGTCTGAAGTGGTACAATTTGAAGTTTATTCCCTCTAAGAAAAATTACTTGAAGGATCTTGTTCACTAAACCATTTTAGTAATCCTTGCAGAGGATTATGAAGAGGACTTGTAACAATGAATGAGTTCATCTACAAGTATTACCATGGAATATAGCATGGAAAAAAAATCACTGTACTTACTCATCTGACACTGAAACTGGAATGCGGAGTCAATAATAATGTATGTGTTTGTGACAGAATTTATTTATTTATAGGAGCAGTTTGTGTTCATTAACAGTGAATGAGACGTTTACATTTCCAAAGATAAGGTCCAAAGATAAGGTCCTGGTCAGTGGAGACACCCGTAATGTTCTATCAAATTCTGCATCAGCTCAAAACAAACTAACTTGTGGGATTTCTGGAAGAGACCACAGGTGAGAAAAAGAACTCCAACTGTCCTTTATGATTAATTGGAATTCAAACATCAATGAGTGACTTTTTTTCTTTTTTTTTACCCTGACCCATCTGTGAACTCTGTAACTGTACTCAGAGTCATCAAACTTCAGCATCTCCTCATCTCATTCCCCTCCCCCTTCTCCTGCTAGTGGTCTCTGGGTGTTTGTTGTTAGTTTCCTGTCACAGAGGAAGTGCCTCACCCTGCTGCCTGGTTCCTTATTGGCCACACCTCTGAGGGACTGTGATTTATTTTTTTTTTTTGCAGGGGAGCAGATAGATAGAGGGACCGGAGTCAGGATCTGGGGACAGGAGTGTGAGATGTGGCAGAGGACGGATCGATGCACAGGATGGTTCAACTGAAGATGACTTAGAGCTGGAGGGAGGCAACACGTTTCTGGCAGGCAGGAAATGGTTTTGTGTTGCAGAAGGTAAGCATGCACAAAACAGCTTCACGAAGAACTGAGCTCGGTATTTACCTTAGAAAACAGAATGACAGTTTTAAAAAATATATATATTTGAAAATTTTCTAATACATTTAAGAGTTTTGTTACAAGTTTTCTCACTTTGTTCTACTTGTGCTAGGGTTGAGATCTGATGTATTTCAACAATTCAACTGAATTAGTCTTTTTTCAACTCCAGCACTCTTTATTTGCAAGCATAGGAGTATGCTGCAGAGAAGGGATGGTACGCAGCACAAGACTTTGACAGCACAAGACTAGGACTCAGAGCTCAGCATCAACAGAACTTCTCCCCAACCTGATAAACATTTCATCATCTACTGGAATTTGTGAGTTTTTTTGTTTTGTTTTGGTCAATGTTCCTCACTCTTGGTCTGGTCACTCCCAATCCTTGTACCAGTGCCTTGATTTTATTGACGCTGGACAGGTTTGGGAGGCGCTGTGCCAAAGACTGCCGCCTTGCTTGCCTCCATCACTTCCACATAAAATAAAGATGTGTCTGTTCTCACATCAGAACCTATTTAATGAATCTGTCCTGTTGTTGCTTTTCTTTATTTTTGGTGATTTTCAAAGGAATGTGTTCCTCAGAACAAAAAATTTTGTAATTTTATGACTGTGACATGTATGACACTTATGACATGTGGCGCAGCATAAAGTTGACTGAAAAGCATTTGAATAAATTCTTAAACTGGTGTTTATAAAATCTCTGTTGCATTAATGTGCTTTTTTCTGGTGAAATGTTGTAAAAATTTTCAGTATGGGCCAGAATGGAGGGGAGTTTTCTACATGTCATTGATCTAATATGTATATAAAAATGATTTAGAAAGATGTTGGTGAATGCCTTGATTCGACCATCATGATTTCAGACTGCTATAGAGCTTGGAAACTCGGCTGGGTAAATTAAGAAACCTTATCAATCTGACCAGAAAATTTAAAATTTTATTTAAAATTGACTTTTTAAAAACTGTCCATTCCCTCATCAAAAACTTGAAGTGTGGCTGTTTCTTTCATGCATGTTTGAGAAATCCTTTAATCTCCATGGGAAAACACTGGGGTTGACTGAGTGGGAAAGTTGGTCCACAGAGTCGACACTCTGTCCCTACTTCACTCAGCTCCTTCAGACTAGCCAGCAGCAAGTAGCAAACAGCTGGTGGATCTGCTGAGCTCATTGTTGGAGCTACTTCTCTGTAAAACGCTGGTAAAAAAAACCCATGTTGTTAAAGGGTGAAGAGAGTAGTTATGTTATGATGACTTCCTGAAAGTGCAGTTTTAATGAGAGCAGGAGTTTTTAAAGAGACAGAGGCCCAATTTCAAGAGGTTAAATTACAAAGTCATATGAATAGCATTTTTATGACAACTGAATCTAACATGGTCATTTGACTGTGATATAAAATGGCACCATGTGTCTTGACAACACATAATACTACCACTTTAACATATATATAATAACATCCATTGCCTGCTTGTACTTGCAAGATTGGGTACAGAGAGGAAGGGGTCAGGGCATAAGGAGTGGTGGTGATTGGGTGAGAGATGGGTTACGCCCTGGACAGGTCACCAGTTGGTTATAGGCCGACAGAGATGCATGCACATACTAATACCAAACCTGAAGTTTCTGGATTGTCAGAGAACCTGACAGGTAAAGTGAAACACACTGATTATCTTCATCATGACAGCAAGAGAGCATCCAACAGTTTCCTCACAGCTGATGTGTTTGGAGCAGAGACAATGGCCATAAAGAAGCTCGGTTTGAGTTTCGTAGCAGCCGCATTATTAACATCACCACAGCTGTTATGTTCATATTTTGTTGGACTATCCTGTTTGGTCACATTCCACATGTGCTGTCATCTGTTTCAATTCAGAAGGGAAAAAAATATGGGTAAAAAGAGCCAGTCTGTAGAGCAAACTATTTTTTTTTCCATGCTTGAATGTCATTTATGAGAAAAATATGATCATTTCATGCAGAAAGTTGTAACTAGACACAGACAAATAAGTTTGTCTAATGTCTCAGCGACATCCATTGAAACTCATGCATGTGTTTATCTATAGTCGTACTGTTTACTGCAACAGTGTCTTCACAAATCTGCCTAAACATATCAAGGCTCCAACTGCAGCTGATCCCCAAAGCTGCTGCTGGCGTTGTGACTAGAACCAGGAACACAGAGAACATCACCCAGTTCCAAAGTCCTTCCACTGGCTCCACGGAGGTCAAAGGGTAGACTTGAAAATAATGTTCGTTTATTAGCTTCTGAACAGCTCAGCACCACAATAAATTACAGATCTGCTGTTGTTGTCATGCGTACTAATTTCCACCATTATTATTTATTAAAGGTATAGCCAACATTGAAATGGTAGTGAAAAACTAAGCATATGCTAAATACTAAATTTGTAAACAATTTATAAACCTTACAATAGTAGAAAGTACTTCCTTTTTGTTATTATTGCTCTATTGGTGTTTAAGGCTGACGGAGACACAAATAGAACACAAATAAATTAGCATGTTCTTCGTGTATTCACATGTGACAAACAAACGAAAGTGAAAAAAAAAAAAAACACACAAAACAAGACAAAGACACAGACAACACATTCTAGTTTTCAGCGGTATCAGGAGGAGACTCCTGATTGGCTGGTTCAGAGTAGCTCCTCGTATTGCCGAGTTGTCCAGTGAAGCTGCGCAGACCGAATCCAGGAGTCAGGACAACAACAAACCTCCGGCTGGTCACGGCTCGACAACCGAAACACGGCCGGGTAAGTTTCAAATAATTATAGGAATGTTATAATTATGAAGTTATTATCAACAATCTGTGTGGAAAAAGTTTCGTCCTGAGTCACTGAGATTCTGTGTCCCGAACTAGAAGTTCGGTCCAGTTCAACTCACAGCTGGCATTTCAATAGGATGTAGCATTAGCAAATTCATTCAGCTGTTACGTCTGTTAGTGCTCCTTTCTGCGAGGTAAACACAGATTTCTTGAGAGCATTTCCTTGTAGTTATTTAGTTTCTTCACTCGCCGCCGGGTGTTCAGCCGAAACCGACTCGGCTCCTCTCGGTGTTTTCCGGGGCCTCCATTGGAATGAGTGAGGGCTTCGATCTCTGTTCTTTTACTTGCTTCATTCTCTGTTTCACACCATCCAAGCATAACATTATGACCAGTTGTAGCGCGTTTCACTTCATCTGACAGACGAAGTGAAACTCACTCATCATGGCTGCCGATAGCGGTTGGGCTTGGTTGAATTTAATTAGATTTAATTGCAGAGCCAGAGAACATGACTTCCTCAGACCTGATGTTTGGGGCCATCTTGAGATGATCCATCCTGACAGGACAGCAGCACTGCTCTCCTATCAGCCCAGATGTCCTGTTCTATCACAGGCCCAATAAGTTGAGTTATGTTCCACACAAAGGGAAAAGTCTCTGAAGACTTTCAACACTGAACTGTATTGTCTGTGGTGGTGTTCAGACACAGACAATTTAATAGCAAATAAATATTATGGCATGGTGACTCAGAAGTTTCAGTTAGAAGTCCCATAATTAAATAAGGCAGTACCACCATTAACCCTATAATTAAAAATTTAAGTTGTCAGAAAGACAGAGTCGTATTATTCATATTTTCTTAGTAAAGTGTGTTTGTAACGAGTGAAATAAACATTTGGTCTCAAATGGAGGACATCTTGTCTACGTCTAAGCCTGAGTCACTGTAGGTTAGGAATCTACACCTGTACTGTTTTATCTTTGGGGCTACATTACAAAACATCTTCACTTTAATATTTGTTAATATCTATAAGCAATTATATTTTGATAATTTAATCCATCTATAAATCTGCTATTTTGAAAATTGATCAAGTAATACATAAGAAATATTTGTACCCTATAATAGGGTAATATCAACCCTATTACAAATATAAATACGCATTTATACTTTAAGAGAAATACTTGAAAGTGATGAAAACCTGTTCATCTGAATTCAGGAATTCAGTCTGGAGCTCACTCTGCTTTTCACTCTTCATTACATGAGATATGATCTGAGATCAGGTCTTAGTTTTTAAGTCAAGTTTCAAGCCTTGCATTTTGTTGTGAGTTAAGTGCAACTCGAGTTGGAGTTTCAAACTTGATTCACATCTCTGTGTAATGATTCCACCTCCTTGATTTGAAGCACAAACTAGGGCAGTTTCATCAGAACTGGACATTTTCTACTTCATCCTTTCATCAGACGTTTCCTTCAGGTGTCTGGGATTCCTGCCAAATCCCAAGCTATGCTTGGTGACATGTTCCTATACAACTGGAGTCACAACTAGAAATAAAGGAGCAGAGAGTTTATAAAACAAAGATTGATGTAGCTCCTTTATTAATTCAAGGTGTAAACAGCGTGGATGGAAGTGAAGCACAGCATCCTGCACAGGGTGGGAAGCTCCACCTTGCTCCACTTTACCAGTCTGAATTGCCCTGGGGGTATTAAATGATGGTAGACTGATGGTATGCTGCAATTATTTCAATAAAAAAATAATTGCAGTCATCTATTTCTGACTGTTTTGTCATTTTAAAATGACAGAAATATAGTTTATTTCTTGTGTTTGAAGCTCACTGCTTTCTGTCTGCTTTCCTGTCAGGGATGTCGGAGCTTGCAGATCGTAGATGTTCCGTCTCGTCCATCTCTCTGATTGAGATCAAGACTGAGACGCATCGAGTCCTCCAGGCTTTTCTTGAACGAACCATCTCTACCCCCCACAAAGACAGGCCTGGCAGGATAGCAGGAGCCTATGATGATCATAACAAGCACGGGTAATGCTGGCGTTGAAAAAAGCTCTACATTGGTGTTTGAGCAATATTTTATGATGCAATTCCATTTTTAATTATTTTGATTCCATTTTAATTTATTAGCACAATTTTATTCTGCATACTTTTACTGTCAATGCTTTTAATTGCATGTTTTTTTTAAAATATTGTTACTATTTTTATTGTGCAATTTTCTCTTTTTTAAGTTTTATTTTTCAGCATGACTCTTTTGTTTCTCTTTTGAAAAAAGAGTTTGGAGTTTTCTGATTGAAAGTTGAAGCGTTTGTGAGCAAAATGTTATTGTTGGGGATTGTTATCTCCCCTAGATTCTTCAAATATTTGATATGATATCAGTTAAGAAGTTTTGATATAATTATTGACACTCAAGACTCCAGTATTAAAAAGACTCACACCTTCAGGTCAGAGTGAAAGAGTTAAAGTTGAAATATTTTAAAAATAAGATCATTTAGAAATGCAATGTTTTAGGACTACATCAGCTGCTGCCAACTCCGTGAAAATGTCCTCAAACAGATGCAGAGATACAAGCAAACATCTTTGACCCTGAAGCAGACTCAGAAGCAATAATTTAGCCCCAAAACAGCTTTTTCTCACAAATGCAAACATTTTTTAAACATACATATTTGCAAGTTTAGAGGAGAGGCGGCACTTTTCAACATGTAAAAAACAAACAAACCCATTTTCTGCTTCCAGCAGCCATTGTGCAGCAGTGATGGATTTTTTGACTCCTGTCAGAAATCTTCTGAGGGTCGTCTGACCAAGCCTGGTTTATGTGGATATTATTTCTTTTAGTGACGTGGTGTGAAGCTTAATTCAATAGTTATACTATAACAAGGCTAAATATAAAAAATTACAAGAGTTATGATTTTGTTTTTTGACCAGGCACTGTACACCAGTACTGCGTTTCTTAGTTTGAATTCCATTTTTCTGAAATAAAATCTGAAGGAATTTTCACATGTAATTTCTGAACTAAGCTGATTATTCAGAACATGTATTTTTCATATTAGCTCGTCGCCACAGTCTAAACGAAAAGATGGAGCAGACGCTGCAACGGAAAAAGAAGACGAGAAGAAGACTGGAATCAAGGACCTGATGAAAAGGTCCATTATCCGTGGGAAAGGCTCACTGGGCCGGAGCAGCAAGTCCAAACAGTCCCACCCAGCAGAAGTAAGGAACTGTGGCTTTCATTTCACATTTAATCCTCAATTAGTTAAACTGTCTGCATGTTCATCCTCAGTAAAAGTCACTGCTTTAGTAAAAAAAAAAAATTAATCCATGTTTCTGTTCCATCTTCAGCAATAAATGGTTTTCTTAAGGTTACGGAGAGTCCTAGTTGATTTAATCACCTTTAGGAAATGTTATAATTTGTCACAGATAAATAGTCACAACAGTTGTACTCATACTTCTGCTTTTTGATTTAAAAAAGGAATATTTGGTTGTGACTCTTCAAACTAATCGTAAAAACATATTTTTACTTGAAGACGTGTTTAACTCCTCCACTAATAGTTCATCTAAAGCTGCACAATATATTCAGTTACAGTTGTTGTCATATTACAATATAGTCGACACTATGAAGCTGCTTTTTTGTTGAACTTTTCTTTGAACATATTGAGAGCCTCTTTCTCAGGGAGTCCTGGCTGCTGGGAGTCAGTGTCTGGTGGGCCGTGAATCTTCAGGTGTCCTGCTTCCAAGCTCTTCCTGCTGTCAGTGTGTTTGTCTGCTGTCAGGTTGACTTCGGTTGCCTTTTGTGGCCTTTGATAAGTCTTGATGATAGACGATACTAGTGGGAAAATTGTAATGATCAGTTTCACCAGTGCTAAATTTCAGTTTTACTTCAGGCAGGTTTTCAGCCTGTTTCACAGATTTCAGTATTGATTTGACTGTTCTGATGCACTCTGGTAGTCTGTACCTTGTGAAACAAATCAACATCTCTCCCAAAGCCTCTGCATGTGTTGATGTGTCTTCTAACAGTGTTTTGGGGGTCCATCTCTTAGCATCAGTCTGGGTTAAACATGTTGAAATCAGTGCAGTTCTCTTCAAAGACAATAGTTTTGCTTATTTGATCAGCAAAATCAAGGAAGTTTTTGGCATAAAACCAGCATTGACATGACCCTGAGACAGAAACAACAAGGAGGTTTTCTGTTAGGCTCGTACTGTGAGAGCTTAACATCCAGTCAGTGAGGAGAAGAATGTATTTCTGGTGATAGAGCATAAATATTCAGTGTTGATATGAAATCTGTTTTTCGCAGGACAGTGTCTCAGCCTCCTCATCTTCAGATGAAGAGGAAATGAGGAAGCAAAGACAAGCAATCAAAAGAAAGATTGCTTCGTTTTTCAAAAAGAAATTAAAGGAGAAAGAGAAGGACAAAGAGAAGGAGAAAGAGAAGGAGAAAGAGAAGGACAAAGAGAAGGAGAAAGAACAAAAAGAGTCTCATCCTCAGAGACAGAGTGACTTGGTATCTGGCAAGAAAACGGCCGCAGCAATCAAACCTTGTGAGTTCTATTTCACAAACCTCTGAAACATGTTCCGCTCAGAACCTTTTGATTAGTGCAAGAGCTTCGCGATCTCGCATCACGAAGTCACCACAACTCAAAAAAGCCATTTGCTACTTGAAGGAAGTCATGACCGTGAAGATTGTTCTGGAAGATGATATTTAGTTTGACTGTTTTAGCAAACTAATACGGTGGGCTTTTCTGCAGAAAATGAATTTTTATCTGTATCTATTATAGTTCAAGAAACAGATGAATCTCTGAAGTTTTATGATGAAGTAGCTCAGAAGCTGGAAGACCTCATCAAGCAGTCCGCCGGGCTAAGCCCAGAACTAGGTAACCACACTCACACGTAATTCTGCTCATGTGGTGCATGTGCATCATATTGGATCATAAAGAATTTCATTTATTTCAGTGATATAAGTCAGTTTTAATTCATCATGTGTATTACTTCTCATTAACACACATACCCAGTGTATGTTAATAAGCTCCAGCTTCCCTCCTGAAAGTAGTCAGTATTTCACCTGTTAACATCAGAGATATGAAGCTGAAGCTCTCCGTATAAAACCCTGCATAGCTAAAGCAAACAAGACTCAGACTTATTTTATTGTCGTTACACAAAGACATGACAGTGAAACTGGCAAAGAAGGCCTACATTTTGTTAACATGCACTTGTTAGTTCTTTGTCAAGACGAGTAGCAGTGGAGGGAAACAGGCGGCCATTTTTAGTTGGTTCATGTCAGACATGGAGTCAGTGCTGTAGGGTCTGGTTCTGGAACTGAACTGATGTCTCCATGTTTCTGCAGTGTATGATAAAGAAGTCGTGGTTCAGCGGCTGGTGAAGCTGCTGAGTTCAGAAGGAGATGCCATGAACACTAAGGTAGGTTCCATGACAGTATAAGTTACATAAAGGAGGAAAATATATTTGTTTATCGAACGTTAACTGTTCTTTGGTTAAGCTGGAAAACAAGTGAATTTGTAATATTAGAATCTTCATAGAATTTTTTTATTAAAATTAATAGGAAATAATGATGTAGGACATTTGTAGGAAGCATATACAGACAGCCTAATACAACAAAGATGAAGCTAACAACACAGACCGCTGTCAACCTTTGACCTTCCCGGGCAGATCCAGCAGGATCCAGAGCTGCGCTCCAGACTGTCCCGGCTTTCATACAGATCGTTCGAGCATATTCTAGACATCTTCGGCAAGAGTCATGTGACTGAGGCCCCCCCGCTGAAACCGTCGACCAGTCCAACGCTGCACCGAATAGCCATCTCCATGGATGTGTCCCGGCGCATGGTGACAGCCACAGGAACACAGCGGATAGAGGGCTTCGCAGAGCGCTACATGGAGAACTTTATCCCCTGGGTCAAAAGTCATGGAGGATGGGTGAGTGGTCAGGTCAGGTGCATCTCATTAAAATGACTGCATCTCGCTTCACACATGGCTGTGTTTTATCTGCAGGGAAAAGTGTTGGACATAGACAGGACTGAGGAGTGGGACTGATGTCCTGAATGTGTGTTTATCGTGAATCAAGGCTCAACTGGATGATGTCGTCTAACAAGGGTTCGAGGAGCTGACCGGGAGCTGACCAGCAGAGTTTAATCTGACTAGTCACGTTACATAGACGTGGTCTCTTTGGTTCCTGCTGCAGAGGGCGTCCGGTTTGTGTTTTCCATTTAACCACTCAACCAGGGACCAGCTCATTGTCACTGCTGCTGCTAGCCTTGGCTTTCAAGGATCTGCTGTCCTTTAAACTAAAACTAAGTAGCTAAATCCATTTTGTTATGGAAAACAAAAGAACAAAAACCAAATCAACTACTTGTATTTTACCTCTTGGATTATAAAGTCCAATAGTGAGACATGAGATGTTTTACAGCAGCTTTTATTGTAAATAGCAGAGATACAGGAGAAGCTACTTTACTAAGTTATATTTTAAAATGACAAAGCTCATGGAAAAAATGCTAAAGATTGTGGGTTCCAAATATTTAGTTCAAAGTTAAACATTTAGTTATCTAAATATTCAGTAAGAAAACAGAATGTTTAGTTCAGGGCTAAATATTTGACATATTTAGTTTGAAGCTAAATATTTAACTCGGAGCTAAATACTTAGCTAAAATGCAAATACGCTTGCCGATAGCTGAAAAGTGTACTACCAAAATAAAAGCAGGGTGAAACTGATTCACTTCAACTGTTTCTCATGTCTTCATCATTGATTGCAGTGAAGAATCGGCTTTGAAGGATTCAGCCTCACCAGCAGGAGTTTTATACAAGGTCTGAACACCCAGCTTTTATTTTGGTAGTCTACTTCCACTTCTCCACAAGTGTATTTTTATATTAGCTAATTGGCTCAAGTTGGTTAACTGCTGAGTTAACCAACTAAGTAGTAGGTGAAGTATTAAAATATTAATAAATATTAATCCAATGAATTTAGTTGCAGATTTCAATTGATTATAAAGCAGAATAGTTTCCTCTTATCTGTTTAGCTCTTTATAGAGGAACACAAACATAACAGCCCATAATAAGTGAGCAGTCAGCCATGCCTGAGGGGCTGGAATGGTTGCTGTACATTTCAAAGAGCTGAAGAAAAAACTGCAGCAGCAGTAAAAGTACTCTAGTGGGGAGAGTTTGGTGGTTTTCAAACTAAGTTTTAACGTACTGTAATCCTGGACCCGGCCCAGGACTCTGCAGCTTTGGTCAAAGCTCTGATCGAGGAGCATGTCAACATTCCAGAGAGCACAATAATTCCAAAGTCTCTTTCTGCCTCTGGTTGCATTGATGCCTTTAGAAATTAAAATGATGTGATTCAGATCGACCCCATCTCTGAACAGAAACAGCTTCTCCGGAAATGTATTTGGAAAAAGTTGAAAACATAAAATGTTTGGGAGAATTCAGTGACTGCTGATATTTACTTGCCTAAGTGCAGTGCAGCTCGCTGACGATCAGCTCATAAGTCTGGCCTGATATTATTTTTAAAGATGTGAAAATCAGTTAGCATTTTGCAGTGTGAGTTAAAATATAACCACAAACTCCTCAGTGTGAGGGAGCAGATGAGTTCAAAAACTTCTCTTGTACAGTACATATGTTTATGCTAAACATTAATTTTGTGATGTTCATACTCTGTGTCAGCTGCTACTGTCAGTACTGTAATATGATCACTACTTTATAATCAACATTTTTGTGTGGGTTTTTTATATTAAAAAATAACATAACATGATTATATTATATGAAATATTTTTGCATTTCTTAATGCAAAAATATTTGGGGCTATTGGACCAGGAATTTGTGGAACATGTTTACTGTAAAGACTGCTTTTATAATAAATTTGTACATTAAGAGTTCTTTTAGTCATTATTGAGGGGAAAATGTCGCTTACTGTCAAATGTAAACTTATTGGTACATGAAACAAAAAGTAAACTAGTTGTCTGTGCTTTACTATGTTTTGTTTACATTATGTTTAATAATAATGTATGGTAAATAATGTGAGTGAGTGTTTATTTCCCTGTAGTGTTTGCTGCGTTCGGACTGATCAGCTGCAGCAAACACAACCTACATTCTGTAATGCACTAAAGTGAAGAAGGGAAGCTGTTATGTTTGTTGAATTATTGTTGTTTTTTTATTGCAGTCTACCTTAGTCATATTTGGCAAAGTAGAATTTTTTTTTATGTATTTATTTGTTGCCAGTGAAACTGCTGATGTGGAGGATCATGTTCGGTAGATAATATCCAACCTCTGTAACTGACTAAATCTTGAACTCTTGTCTGTCTTTTATTAAACTCCAAAGACTATTGATAACTTGATGCTTGTGCTTCGTTTTTACTGTTTTTTCCAGTCCATTATTTTGCATATGTTAAATTCAACCTCTAGAAAATGTCTAACAGGAGTTTTATCAACATCTTAAACTTGTAAAATGTTTTACATTCCACAGTTGAACATCTCAGATGTCCCTGCAACCTGGTGACCTAAAGAGAACAGTGAGTCTAAATAGATGAATCTGCCAGCAATCATTGTACATATCGCCATCTAGTGGAGGTGTCTGGGAATTGCAGTGGAATCAGCTGGTACTGTCTGACAGTCAGAAGCTTCAACGCAGCAAATCATCTGTAAGGTTTATGGAATGCATTTCTTTGAATGAGCAGCTGCACCGACATCACCAAGCAGTGCACTGAGTGATTCAATGGTGTAAAGCAGAGTTCTTTAAAGAGGGAGCCTCGGCCGCAAGGGGGCGCGAGTGAGGCATCAGAATGTTGGTGGGAAGGTGAGAAATAAAGGAATCCAATAATTTTTTAAATCCTAACTTCTTTTTTTCCCCTTTTTTTATTTTATAAATGTAATCTGTTTTAAAATCATTATTACAAAATATAGGTTAAAATAACTTCTTCAATCTTTATTTAACCAGGATAAACCTCGTCATAGTCAAAGATCTATTTTACAAGAGTGTCTTGACAACTTATTGAAGATGGAGATCAAGATAGAAATGCCCTTATTGTCCCACAGAGGGGAGATTCAGACAAATGGTCCTCTCTGATTGGCTGTCAGTCAAATGTATTGTGTTGCTTTGCTCCTCAAGCTAGAAATTGAAAAGTAGAAAAACTCCAGAGGAACCGTCCAGCAGCCCTGCTGCAAAAACCCAACCTGTGGAGAGGACATCAAATTTCATGGGATTCATTTAAAAATCTGACATTTTTGCATCAAAAGAGAGGTTTGTGGTTGGAAAATTATATCTGGTGATATATTCGGCATCTGTCAATAAAGTCATAATAATATTACCTGCTAACGTTGTAATGTTTTATGACGTTATTACCATTTCTAGGTCTACCTAACTAGTCTTGAGTTTATTTGTCTTCAGAGCTGTAGTTGGTACTGATTGAACAAAGTGTTGGAAATGATTTGCCATAAGTCTCCTGTTTTCTGGTGGTGGGAGAGACAGAGAAATAAGGGTGAGAGGAAATGAGTAGATGAGCCTTTTCTGGTCAAAACTGGTCAAAATGTTTCTCTGGTATCAACAGTTCAGTGACTGGACCAGATGTTCTTCCTCATTCTTTGCTAAACTTATACTTCTGTAAGTCATCTTTGCCACATGAAGTTGTTGCTATGTGATTTGCTGCTTGAGTTAACATGCATGTGAATAGATGGACCTAATAAAGTGGCCAGTGAGTGCCGAAAGACTTGATATTTTTTAATAATGGACAGAGACGGTTATATGGATTTAACTTTATGATGATGATGATGATGATGATGATGATGATATTACAGCTTTTACTGCACTCATAATATTTACTCCATTCATAGTATTGACTTTTTATACTCAAACATCGAGAAATAAATCATACAGAAACATTATTTAAAACAACAAAAAAGTAATTTCTATAAAAACAACAATCCCTTGTCCTTCAATTTAAACATCTGAAGACAAATTCTTATAAGTCATAAGTCAAACTGATTCTAGTTGCACAACATTAGAAACCAAATGTTCACAAGTTCCTCAAATTGATTTGCTTTTACTTAAACTCAGTATCACTTCCTTTACATGAAAAGGTTATTTTGTGCTAAATAATCTTAACAACAGAGATGTCAGGAACAACTAATGTTCCTGACATTAGTCAGGAACAAAAACATTCCTGACTAATGTTTTATTAGTCAGGAATATACTGTAACTTCTGGAGTCTGACCAAAATAATATGAACAGATGCAAAACTTACAATCATCCTGTTTCAGTTTGAACCTAACAGAAGCAGCTCTTAGTGTGAGACTGAGTGTTGCTCAACCTGTAAAGAATCAGATATCACACTGCACAATGACATTGCACTTTAGTTACTTGTAATGAATTAAACATTAATCAAAGTCTATAACTAAATACTCATGAGATAACATTGTTTTTGCCTGTTTTTGATTCTAACTGGAAAGTTGAACAGTTGTTCAAACGGAGGATTGCAGTGACGTTTTTCTGTTACAATTCCACAAACAAAATCAACACTTAGACACTCCGATGCAGTTCTTAAACACAGCACAGGATCAGGATCAGCAGAGGCTGCACCCAACGCCACAGAATCAGCAGAAATTTAAAAAGGAAGTGGGTTTTCCCTCCAGCTGCTCTATAGATCTGCAATATAGAAACTAGAATGTGAACTACAGCAGCATTAAGCTGCGTTCACGGTGCCATAACGGCAGAAACTTCATTTAGTGGAGTTTACACACAACAAGAAGAATGTAACACAGCAATCAAAGGTAACTATCAGGCAGCATTTTGCAAACGATTGATAATGTATAAAATTAATCATAACTAATCAAATTCTTATATTGTTTTATTTGCTTGAAAATATAAAATTACATACCAATATATGTGTTCAAATGAATGAAGTTTAAAAAAGTGATTTTTGAGCTAATGTACATCCTTATTATGCCACAAACACACACATTAACAGAAAAAAGTTGCATTGGAATCGCTGGGACCCTGTCACCTCAGAGCATTTCAAATCCATCCGTTTCCCTTCCTTCAGCAGCACAGCGCCCCCTGCAGCTGCCGGAGTCCCTCCTTTTAGACCATTCAGCTCAGAGCCGGGCTGCTGTTAGTCCAGGTTCTTCTCAGCGTAGAGAATTTGACAGTACATCTGCATGGAGAACACCAGGGCCAAAACCTGTTGAGAGAACGAGTCACATGGTCAGAGAGCAGCGCTGCATCATTATCAGTCCAGCACTGAAACTCGTTCAATTCTCCATTTGATCCCAACTTTATGTTCTGAACCCAAAGTCAGAAAACTAGTGGGACTTGAGTTATAGATTGTGCTCAGTGATCAAGCTGACATTGATCACTGCTAGAGTTGCAGGTTATGCACAGCTCTGCCTTTTATGCATTCAGTGGAAGGAACATAGTTACAAAGACTATTAAAAATTATATATAATAAGAGAAACAATGAAAACAATGTTTATATTTTACCAAATAAAACTGGAGAAAATACTTTACCAATCATAAACAAGTATTTCTTATATCTACAATTAACTTATGACTAGTCATTAAAGTAAACTCAAGATTTCTCATTTTTAGTTTTGACTAGTCATAATTCTAATTACAAATATCTGGAATAATACCACAATATCTTAAATGTATTTTAGATAACTTGTTTAGACAGTTTACCAGCAAAAAAACAAAACAAAAACAAATAAAATACAACAAAATGAAAATGAGATAAGCATCTTATGGACCACAAATCTTCATAGTTCAGCTTTTCTTGGCTTAACAGACTGAAACAGTTGTTAATTTCAACAGATTTGTTCAAATGATGAGGACGTAGAGATAAAGTACCTGTACAACACCAATGCACACTCCAAACACCAGGACGGGCCGGATGTTGTCACTCAGCCAGTTCTTGGCCTTCGCGAAGCACCCCTGTTGCAAACATTCATACACAACATGCAGAGGAGACTGATGAGTGACAGCAGATAAATGTAGTGGGTCAGAGGTAGAAGACTGACGTCAGCACATGCATGAACAACAGGAGCTGGTCTGAGAAATTGCTTTTCCGTTCAGGGCAGTTTTTCCGGGTGGAATGGTAATAATGCGTTTCCCAAACAGCAAAAGGTTCATGTGCATCTTTGATCATTTTCCTAGACAATGCATCTCGTTCAACATTTATTTCCTAGAAAGTCCTGGACATCAAGAGTAAAACCTTCTAGTGTAATCACTGCTTCATGAAGCCTACCTGATATGTAGACCACTGAAAATGACCTGGGAAAGATTCCTCGTCTCTACTTGTGGTGAATTTGTCAACATCTCACTTTTAAGCTGTTGTATGTAACTTTTATTGAAAAAACAAAACAAGAATTTTATTTTATTTTTTACATATTTGTTTATTTCATCAGAACATCTGTGAAAAGATTGAGCTCCTAGCGAGTACATGGGGTTGATTGCCTGCGCTAAGCCCCTCCTCCTGACTCTGATTGGTTGTTTTTGGTCTGTGTGTTCCGTTCCTGCAAGAGCAGCACAGGGAGGAGGTGGAGGGGATCGATGTTTTCACAGATGATCTGTCTCATATCATACAGTCACAACACGGTGACAGTTTGAATAAAAAATGTTAAAACATGTATTTTTCTATAAGTTACATACTGCAGCTTTAAGTATCAGCATAACCAAACTGCGGCCGACTTTTATTTCCTCTCCAGTGTGAAATGAGAGTCTTTTCTGGCTTAAATCTGTTGATCCCACTTTATTGTCACTGACTCTCCTCCATCACCCTCCACCCCCTCCAGTAACCCCTAACTCACTCTGAGCTCTAGTGAAATGTAGGCAATCCTGGTTCAACAGTAAATAAGTGTAGTTTCAGCAGAAGGGTTTTCCTCTGTGGTTACTGTCAGCAAATACTTGTGGTGCACAAACAAATTCATGCATCTGGAGCACATTTCTCTTCCATGACAGAGAACCAACCCAGACGTGTGTTTAGGGAATGTTTGGTGCTCCGAATGTTCCCTACAGAACTGAGCGACAGACCAACCTCACTCCATCCAGTGCACTGGTCTCTATCAGCGCCGGGGCAGCAGGATGAAGGCAGCGTTCCGTTCAGCACTTCATGCCAGTCTGTGGAGTTGTTGACGCCACAGCATTTGAACTGCACACAGAGACATAAAGGAAGAAGAGTGAGTTCTCTCTGTAACTTTACACAACTTATGTTTGGCCTGCTGGTTCTGCATCACATTTTTTTCAAGCATTAAAGTTGGAGAGCCATGCCAGATATCTGATGTCCTGGAAAACTTAGCATGCATGTGGTTCTGAGAGAATGATGGGAGAGTTCATG